TTATCACGTGTTATCGCGATTCGCGGATAAAAAAAGGAAAGGAAACATCGTAGAAACTGGATTTTCCGGTCAACGGTGTTTCTTTTTATTTCGACCGTGCACACGTTTCGACCGAATGAGATAATAACAAAATAATTCTTCGCGGATAATCGTAATATACGTCAATAAATTTCAAAACGAAAGATTGTAAAATTGTGTGTAATTGCAATTTGAGGTTAGAAATTCGTAAGTTGATTTTGTTTATTATTAATTGAGTTTATATGCACATCTTATTGGATAATATCATTTATATACTCTTTCTTTAGACGATTTGTACGTATTTGTATTCGATATAAATACGAGATCAATTTCTACATGTTGAGTAAAATTTTTCGAACATCGTTATATCGTGTCATTAATTATATTATTATATTTACTCTGCTGTACGAGATTATTAAATATAATAAGGATGCGAGATATTAAACATACACTTTCTACGTTTTAGAAAATTCGATTAGAATTTTGATCGATCTTGTTTAAAAGCTTGTTCATCGTTAAGGGAAATGACAGATCGATTTAAACGAGCGTTGTCCAGCAAGCAAAGGTAAGAAGTAATTTCCATAAAGCACAGCTGCAGGAAGATCGAACGTGTGACTGAATTCTTTTAGATTTCAATTACCGGGAATTAGCTGTTAACTGAATTTGTTTTTGCGGGTAAGGTATCGCGTAAGATCCTGCACGATCGTAACATGGGATCGCATTCTTTGCCTTTTCTTGCGACACTGCTATTCCCTTGTAAATCTTATTCGAGAAAAAAATTCTAATCACGCGATTACGAGATTATAAAACAATAAATTAGTTGTAAAAGATGGAATATATATATTTTTCAATACAATATTAATTGTATTAATGAAACGAATTAATGAAAGATTTTATATAAATATGTATTTGATTCTATTGTATGTGACGTAATAAATATATTTTTAATTAATTGCTTCGGAAAATTTCTAAAATTTTTCTACCTTTTTCACCTTTTCATTTACTTAAATGAAATTAAGAGATATAAAATTTTAAGGTTTATAACGTGATTAAGTACTAACGAAAAGAAGAAGAATTCAAAAAAGACAGCAAAAAAAAAAAAAATAATTATCCTTCTCTCTTTAAAATTTTTGAATATTTTGGCGTCAGGCCAAATGGAAAATATATACTAAATACTTTCAGCTCTTCATAGTCAATAAATTTGAATAATTGCGTTACGCATATTAACATTTAAGATATGAAATAATTTTATAGTGTCTCTCAGAATTCCCATAAAAATGTTTAACATCGAGGAATATCGCAATGCAAACTCTAAAAATACTTAAATCTTTTAAATCCCTATTAAATCTTAAACTTTGCTCTTTATAGGGGAAAAAAAAGAGAAAAAAAAAAACAAAAAAACAATATGTTTTAAACGACGATGTTTCGACGTTTCATTTCATTGGATCGTAATCTCGATTCATCCGGAAGCGTCGAAAGAGGAAGTGGACAATTTCGATCCTAAGACGAAATATAGCTGTTTGATCCGCGCTAGAATGAAAGTAAGAGCGAATCAGAGGCCAATTTACTTTTAACGCGTACCTGTGTCGGTCCATTGCACTTGCTAGAACATAATATCTACCTATAGTCAGAGATCGATTTCGTTCCGATCGATAAAAATATCTCACGATTTCCCTTCCATTTTCGAATCGTTACGGCATATGCATACTGGAGAACGCATTTTACTTGAAAAAATAATTGGTATTAAGTATCCATATATATGATAAATTTACGATAATAATGATTTTTATCGTTAAATGATAAGTAAAATAGAAAGTAAGGCAAATTGATCAATTTTACTTTCTAAGAGATTTTTAATTTCAATGCTAATATGAACGATTTTCAAAAAGTATTAAATTAATAAGTGCATAAATCAGCTTTAATCGCTTTTTTAATTGATTCGTGTGAAAATTTCGTTATTTTATTATATATAGTTTATAAAAAATGAATAACAAAAGAATATTTAATTTCTACTGAAGATAAAGATCCACGCATGAAACTTACCCTGCTGCTCTATCTAACTTTATCTAAAAATACATGGAACTTAAAATATTGAAAAATAAAGAAATGCTAGAAGAAAGAAAGCTATCTTAATTAAATGAAAATAGAAAGATATTCTCATGAAATTATCCAAAGTCCAATTGACGAACGAAGACCGATGACGAAACTTCCACCGAGATTCTCTTTTGTCTTGAACAAGTGTAATTACTTCATCATGTTTTGTACGCCGGTCGTTATGTAAATTAAAATTTTGCAAGCGTACATAATTACTGGGTCGCGGTTTTCGTTACGCGCTTCGCGGTTTCTTCGACTTTTCATGGCGAAAAAATGAGAAATTCGCGCCGATTCCACCTATCTTTTACAACTTCCGCGACGAATCGCTTATTAACCTGCGCTTCTTGCATAGTATCGAATATATCCGCCTGTATCGATTTGCATAAATATTTTTTTTTTTTTTATTTTTCTAGAAACGATCGTTACTTCATAGTTGGTCTTGGATCTCTGTTAAATTAAACGAAATTCTCGTCTCACGCGAAATTCACATTTCGATAAAACAGGGAATTAAAAATGACTCTTGTCAATTTTTGTCAATTTTCTAGATAGAAAGTAATAAAAAATTAATAATATCGCATTATTCGTGTTCTCTTCCACACCATTCAACTTTTTTATGAAATATTTTTTCATATCATGAATAATTTACGAGTCAAATCGTATTACGATTTATTATATATACGGGGCCTATCCTGTATAATAAATTTCGATTAATGTAAAAATTTACAAAAAGATAAATGATACAAATAGTAAATTTTTTCTCGATTAGAATTTTCTATAATATATCAAGTAATTTAAGTAGAACACATGGAGGTAAATACTAAGTTGTGCCACATAACCTCTAAAAGGAACGCAATGCCGATGCAAAAGGTCAGGTTATTGCATCCGGGCAGATTGTTTCTCCGGCGAATGCACAAGGCAACAACATACAGTTCTATTGCGATTTCTATACGTTAATCTACACGTGATTTCCCACGACCACCGTTTTCTAACTTTCCTCTGTATCCTAGCCAAGATGAATTTGCAAAAAGTGGACAATCAAATGTGCGGAACTTTCGCTCGTTCCCTTATAACGTGTGCATAAATCATTCTCTAACGAATTAGTGCCTATGCTGTGTGTCGCGATCCTCAAAAGAGTTGCAAAGTGGTTTTCACGATTACTACTTTATTTGTAATTATTTATACGTAAAATTGCATGATCAAAATTTTCAATTTTTATTTATTATGTAGAGGTAGATAACGTATGATCTATTACAATGGACATTCAATAATTAATAAAGATTTATCGTAATCAGTATTGCATATTTTATGTTTACGACAGTTTTCTAATATTTTTTTTTTTTTTTAATTTTCATTGAATTGTACATGATTCATCTCTAAAATAATCCATCTAAAAATGTTATTATGTATTCGTTTTAAATTTTCATATTTAATTAATTTTTAATACCACTATTAGTGTTTAGATCCCGATTTTCGAGCAATTTTGTTCAATTTTTATTGTATAACGATTTGGATTGGAACTAAATATTCACTAATGATGGATTCGAGGTAAATATACGGAAAAATTAAGCGAACGAAACCGACGTGCACTGGTAGCTCTGGAAAATCCTCGTGGAACGGTACGTCAGCGATAGCGATGCGAGACCGCGTGTTCGTACACGGCCTTCCAGACGTTTCTCCGGCCTTTCTAAAGCGACCTCGAGAGAAATGCGAAGAGAAGCAGGAATCCTCCTTTCGATCTGACCACAACTCGGATCTTTTCATACTTTTTACCATTCCTATCACGTACACGCAACTTTGCCCCCTTCGATGTTTAGATCATCATTACGCAAAGGCTATGTTAAACTCTTATATTAACACATTTAAACATAATGAATTTTGACAAGAACATGGTTTGTCTAATTTATATTTTATCAAATTCATTATCGCAGTTAAAGAAGATTCATTCTTTTGTTCATTTTAAAATTATTTAATATTTCAAACAAGATATATTATAGAGTTCTTGTTTAATAAAGTGATTTTCTCTTAACTATATAATATGACTTTAAGAAAATGGAATCTTATTTAAAATGATAAAAATTTTCAGCAATTTTAATTAAATTTAAATGATATTTAAAGATTAGAAGGAATCTTTTTCTAACTTTTTTAAATCTGTAATATCAAGATTTTCCAATCATTCTAAATCATCTTTTCTATCGTTTTAAAAATTTCTTTCTTTCATTAAACTTTTATCTAAAAATTCCAAATCTATTCCCTCTTTAAAATAAATTTGATCTCTACGAATAAAAACAAACATAAAACTTACCCTAAATCTCTTTCACCAGTTGCATATATTACTTTTTTCTCAATTCCTTTCAATTCTTCCAAAAATTCTTGAAAATAAATTTAGTCGCCAACAAAAAGAAAAATTTAATTTAACGATATGTCTAATATTCAAGCATCATAAAATATCTAAATTACAATTAAAAACTTACCTCATTCAGATCTATTAATTCTATTGAATCTTTTTCCCAACTCAAAGCTTTTAAAAATCAATTTCAATGTTGAAAATTTTGATCCAAGAATAATATCCAAAATAATAGTTGTATAGATATTACATTATTCATATTACAGTTACAAATTTCCCCTACCAGTCTTTCTCTTAATTCCTATAAACTCTTCAAAATTCTTTAATACAAGTACAAGTTCTTTCACTCCCATTTCACACTTGACGTTTATCATTATTTTTAAGAATCAAACTCCACATGCCGAAACCTTCGATTCCCACGGTACAACCAAGGCGTGCGTTATCCGCGATTTACCTAGCACCTATGGGATCGTTGATCGGTCGTTGAGCAATTTTCGGGGTGTTCCTTTGGCAAAAGGAATAATAATCCTTGGAGAGGGACAGAAAAGTAGAGGGGCGGTCATCAGTGTTCCACGATGCAAAGGAAGAAAGAGAGATGGAGAAAGGCTCGAGGAGAGTAGCAGTACCGTGCGAGTCCAACACTCCAGTCACCGATCGGATGTACGAGTAGCCGGTCGTGCAATAAAGTAATCGTGAATTTCCGTGTTTTTGCTTTTCGCAAAAGTGTCTTACCGTGTTATCTGGCCGCACTCTGGACCAGGTGTACAACCGTAAAAGTGCGACGTGTGACGTTTCCATTAGTGAAATGTGTACAGCGACGTTGTGCGGCTGATCATGATGTGATGATCAAAGGAGAGAACGTGACAAGCTACGACCTGGTATGTTTATTTATTTCGCGAGCATTCTAAGACCCAGCAGAACTGCGACCTGGCAAATTCATAATATTAGTGAAATCGCAGGATATAGATCCAGATTTTCACTTTTGTTCTTTGAGAAAGATGTTTTTTCTTGATTAGTAGATTAGTAAACGTATGCTGGTATCTTTAAAAAAATTAATATTGATTAATATTTGGATAGAAATATAATTTACATATTAAATATATATAAATATTTTTATAATGTGTTCTACTATTTAAGTGCATATTATAGATCTATGTGTTATATAATTAAATATAAATATTATCTATAATATTATCTTTATTTGTAATTAAATTGCAGAAGAATTTTTTGTTAGGAATATTTAAATATATAAGAGGATATTAATATCAGATTGTTCAGATGATATAGAGAAATACTTTAGCTGTAGCTGAGAGATGTTTCATCTGAAAACATTGTTGAATTTGAAAATGACTTTATAGGATTAGATATTGATTTTAGAAGGTTGTTCAAATAATATAAAGAAATGTTATTAGAGAGTTATTATTCTGAAAGATTTTATGATTGAAGATAGAATGTTTTATCTGGGAAGATTTTTTATGAGAATCTGAATCTCATTATAAAGGATGAAATATTTTTTTTAGAAGATTGATTAAATGATTTGAGAAATTGATTTAATATTAATTTTTATCTGGACAGAAACAATTAGTTATATATGTTAAAGTTATAGATTGATTCTGATTGAATTCTGATATAGAAAAATTCTAATTTAGAAAATAAATATTATCATAATTAAAAAATTTTCTTTCAGCAAAAGTTTTAAATTATATAACATTTTAATTCTAAAATATTATTTAACAAAAATATTTCTTGTATTATTTCATAAAAATCATCATATTTTTTTAAATCATCAAAGAATAATGCAAATCATAAATAATTGTTAAATTTTTAATTTAAAAGACAAGATCGCGTGAGATATTTAAGTTTGCCGGTCGAAGAAAGTTTTTTGAGTGTAATAAAAATTTTTATCGTATATAAAAAAAAAGATTTTCACTGACGGATCTTCGATAAAAAAATCTTTAAAGATTATTCAGTTTGATTCTGGTACAATTTTACTTCTAATTTGGTGAAAGGTTTGTATAAGTTATTCCGAGAAAGATGCGTATCTTTGCATGAATTTGTTCTAGTTCGATAATGGAATTAAGTGAGATACGTTGAAACATAGACTTTGGCTGTTGAGCAATCTTTTTTTCTTACGGTAATTTGGTGAAAGGTTGATAGAAATTATTCTAAAAAGGATTTCTAATTATGTATAAATAATTTTTCTTTGAGTTAATAATGAGATTATGTGAGAAAATATTTGAAAAGTAATTATTTGGATGAAGAAATGACTTGGATGGATTTGTCTTGTAATTAAATGTGTGAATTATTTTAGAAGAAATTTATATTTATATGTTAATCATTCTATGTGATAAAAAAATCCTAATAAATCATAGACCCAATTTCTTTTTTTCACAATTTGTTGAGAAAATTACATGAATATGATATATATGATCATAATGAAAATTATTATATTGTAACATCTTTTTAATGGAAATTTTCACATAAAACTTTTTTTATAAGGAAGTTTCTTTTATAATCATATTTATTTCCTATTGAAACACGGATATATAATTGTACCTTGCTTATTTATTTGAAAGTTTTAGAAAAATAATGAAATCAGTTTCCGATATTTATTACTAATTAATTATTATTTAATGATATGCTATTTTCTATTCAGATATATTTTCATATTTTCATATATTTATATTACCAATATTTGCAATCTTCTACATAATTATTCTAAACTTTCAATTTTATTTTAAATTCCATTTCTGAAAAATTTGATTCCAATTTTTTCAACACATTTTCAATATTTCAACACATTTTTGCATTTCTACAATTTCTGCATAATTATACAAAATTTCTAATTTTATTTCGATTTCAATCTTTTCAAATATTTTAGCATTTAAAAAAAGTTACATCAATTATAACAAAAATCATAAATAACATTTGCAATCTTCTGTCCAATTATGCAAGAATTTCATTTCTACATGAAAAATCCATTTTCTCAGAACTTCGATTCCAATCTTCTCAAATATTTCAACGCATTTCAAACAAACAATTATACTGCAATTACGTGTGGATTTCGCATTCAAATTAATGCGAACGACTCAATCCATGGTAAATCGTGCCTACCTCCAAGCAGCTAGCCGCCATATAGCAAACAAACGTGTATAGTTAACAACGTAACTGTAAAGCTGCACATTTATGTGTGAAAGTTTCTTGTATGTCGTCCAATAGAAATATCGCTTAGTACAAATGAAAAATCACTATTTTTTTGACTGATTCATACATTTCTCTGATAACAATTGTAGCATTTAAGAGACACCGTCGACAGTTCTCTATGCGTGTTTGCTCGCAATTCATTGTGATTTCTCGGCATGATGCGCGCGCGCGCCGAGGATTCTTTTCCGGTCAGAAATTTACCGTACACACCAATCGCGGTTTCGTCTACCGTGAAATATTCATCCAGTGGTAGGTTTGAATAGTTTTTATCTGAAATAAAAATAATAAAAAGAAATAATTACTTAAAATGCAATAAAATAATTTATTTGAAACAAAATTGTTTGCAAATAAATGTAAAATAAAATAAATGATTTTTTATTAAATATTTTAGTAAAAGAATGGAAGATAACGAGTGAAATAGGAACAAGATAATAATAATTGTGTATAAGGAATTCATCTTTAGATTAAAAATATATCTCTATTTCGCCTTTGAAACATATATTAATTATTATTATTATTATTTAAATAATATTAATTTAAGATAAAGGAACATAGAAAATAAAAAGAAAAATAAAAATTTCATTTGAATATTCTCAAGAAAAATTTACTTCAATTCTGAATTGTGTTCATCGTGAAACAATATCACATAAAATATTTATAACATTTTTTTAGAATTTTTATAAAAAAATTCATGCATGGAAGTAGGTTGAAGATAGTTAATTGGACAATTAATTGTGTGTATTAGAAAGATTTTAGAAGTTGTGAGAGGATCATATAGATGAAAAATATTAACATTTTTCATTAGATAGTAAAATTAGATCGGCTGGAAAAGAGAGTTCTTTGATGAATCATATCTCATATTTCTTATTAGTTCATGCGGATATTTATGCATTTACAGAAAATTAAAAAGCGTGCAATATACAAAATATATTAGATTCTTGAAATAAAATACTTGTTAATAATATTTAATAATAGTATAATAATAATACAACTTTAAAAACTTTCATTTTATCCAATAATTTCAGAAAATAATATTTATTTTTGTAATTTGTTCATTATTTCAAAATTAAATATATAATTCTATGAAAATAAAGTGTATTATATGAAAAAGTAATCTCTTCTTTGTAATTTTAAATTGTTTCAATTAAAAATAAAAATCTCTATTTAAATTTTATTTTTTTAATTATACTCATAAGAAATTTAATTTACATAAACATTTTACAGTCTATTTATTATTAAATACAAGCGAAATTTAGAAATAAATGAGGTACGAAATTTATAAATTCTATTTTAGAAATTATATTTTGTTTTTCGTTTTAAATATTATTAAAAGATAAATTTTTATTAATTTTTTTTTTTTTTTGTTAAGTTTGATTAATTTTACTCAACTTACCAATTGCTAAATATTGGATTCATGAAGTATAGAATGGAAAGACTAGTTTCTTTCTTCAAAATGTTTCCTGTTTAACCACGGAAGAAGGACAAGCTTACATACTAAGTTACTTCAAGGTCGCTGCACATCGTGAACCACAGAATTTTTCCGGACTGTTCATCTTAACTGTACTTGATTTACAGACATTCATCATATTTTTCTTGTCCAGAATGTACTTTCCTTGAAATCATTCAACTTTTACCTGAAACATTATTTAATATTAGTAAAAAGAAACAAGATATTCTAAATGATAAAATTATATATATGATTTATTTTGTATATTCCTGAATCCTCTACACATAATATTGTAAAATTGTAAAAAAACCTCAAAAAATAATAGCAGATGAATATATAAACGGTAAGTATTTGCAGAATTAAAAAAACTACAAAAAAAAAAACATTCTATATCACAAAAAATGGCAAAAACTGCAAAAGATAGATATAATATAAAGCAAGTATTTCATATGTAAGTATATTAAAATTTGGACAAAAAAAATTTACTATAATAAAATTGTGATAAAATTTTGCATACCATTTAATTACATATCATATTTCTTTATAATAAAATCACAAAATTAACCAAAATGATTTAAAATTCTAATTATTTGCCTAAAAAATTTTTTCTTTAAATTCTAGGAAGAATTTCGCTTGTCATTTCTTTTCAGATTATATTCTCCTGATATAAAATTGAGAATTTTAGTAATAAAATTTTTTGTTTAAATATATATAAAAAGTATATCAAATATATTAAAATATGCATAAAATATTATGGTTTTTTTCTACTGAGGATTCTAAATCTTTTTTTTTTCATTTCCATTTAAGACATAATAATCAACTATATTTATAAATACTATTAATCTATCGCGTTTTCGTAATAAAATATCATAAAAATCATTTTTTTTTTCGAGTCCTGTACGATTCATTACGATTCATTATACTAAGAACATCTGAAAGTATGAAAACTATATAATTTTGAGTCAACCAAAGAATACATTATACACATTTATTAATGATAAATTTTACCTGAATATTACACACAATTTAGCAGGGATATAAAAGATCATAGACCGTTATCTCTTATTGCTTTAGCTTTGTACATCATGTTATATTACATGTTATATTATAAATAATATCTGCAAAATATTTATCCTCTAAATAGCAGATAAAGAAGAATAATTTTTTATAAACTTACTTTCCTTGTGTTTTCAAATGAATTGATTAATTTAACGACAAGATTACATTAAGTATATATATTCGAAATTGTTTTGTAATAGGATAAGATCTAGAATAATTTTTTAAATTTTTTCTTGTTTTGTTTATATATTCAATAATTAAATTGATATAAGTTACTCCATCTCATTACATTCATTTTTAATATATTGATATTTTTTTAATTTGAAATCTGATTTTTAAATAAAAATAAATAAGTAATTATTATAAAATGATTTATTGATAATCAAAAACTACTAGCTAATCGAATGTTTATAACCTAAAAAAATATATTATATATGTGTTGTGTACATTTACTTACATGTATAAACACGTATAAAATATTCTTCGAATATATATATTTTTCCAACATATTATTTTTTATTATTTCTCTTTATACTATCATATATTCACGTTTGAACAATTTATAATTAATCTACTGCATTCTTTTCTTTGATTCTATAAACATTTAATGTATAATATATAAAATATATTGTGTGTATAAGTTAGACAAGGACGGTTAAAAAATTTTCGGAGATCAGTGCCATCTCGCGTTTGGATCACCGAAGCTCCAACTCGTTACTAGCATAGCAGAATGTGCAAGGAGGTATGCGAATTCTTATGACGTCACAGACAAGGAAAACGATATTGTGCGAGAAGGACAGAAAATGTTTGCGGCCATTTTTACGCCACATGGAAAATTTATTAATTATTAATTTTTCACTCAAAATTTCTGTACTTTTAAGCTCGCATCTTGAAGATAGAAGCATAAACAAGTTTCTCGTATCAATTTTAACATGATTTTCGTTTCCATTAATTATTTATTAACAATTAATGTGTCATATAAAATTGATATCATTGATACGTAATAGATTTTTCATTAATTTTTCATTAATGTAAGATTTATTTCTAAATATAATTATATGCATTTAAAAGGTTGCTTTTTCCTCTATTTTCATATATAAATTTTATTTATAATTTTGCTCATGTTTAAATAAATAATATAATTATTTGTTACTTGATTACAGAATAGAAATTTGCAACTGAAATATTCATCGTAATAATCATTAATAAATAATTAACGAAAAGGAATTTTAGATCAAAATTAATAAGAGAAACTTGTTTAAAGTTTTAGCTTCAAGTTACAAGCTTAAAAGTGTAGAAATTTTTATTAGAAAATGATTAAATGATGAATAATTAATGAATTTTCAATATGGCGTCCTGACTACATTAGAGACTACGGGAAGTTAATCATTAATAAATAATTAATTAAAGAGAATTTCACATTAAAATTGATACGAGAAACTTGTTTATGCTTCTAGCTTCAAGATGCGAGCTCAAAAGTGTGGAAATTTTGAGTGGAAAACAAGTAATTAGTGAATTTTCCATGTAGCGTGCGGAAAATGCTCTCTGTCCTTTTCACACAATATTGCTTTCCTTGTCTATGACGTCACACGAATTCGCATACCTCCTTGCACATTCTGCTATGCTAGTAACGAGTTGGAGCTTCGGTGATCCAAACGCGAGATGGCGTTGATTCTAGAAAATTTTTAACCTTCGTTTAACTTATCGACAAAATGGATTCCGTGTATTAGAATTGAACAGTGTATTAGAATTGAAGGAAAAAAACAACACATAATATTTAAAAATGCTCATCTACGAAATATCGTAAAGATATTTGTTAGCAAAATTAGGAATTGAGAATTTTTTGCAATTAAAGGTAAAAAATATATCACGACATACATGTTACAAATATATATAAAACAAAAATATAATTTACAAAATATTATATATATATATAAGAACATAACAAATAATTTTTCAGAACATTTAGATTGTTACATTTGAATATCAATTTTCATTATCTCAAAATAAATCGTTAAATAAATTATCGAAAATAATATAGATAAATAATCAGGATTTTTGATTACCAGTGGAATAAAATGATTCGAATAATCTAACGTAAGTAATTGAAAATAAAATTGAGAACATTTTTTTTTATTTTTCTATTTATATATCATGTATCATATTATCTCTTAAAATTATTAAAATATAGAGATATGAATTAACAGAAGGTATTAATTTTACAGATATACGAATTAATATAGTTCAAGAAAAATTTATTCATCACAATCTAAGTTAATTTTACTATCTCACAGGTATAAAATATTATATCACAATTGTCCCTCAATAGAAATCGAAACATTCCCTCTTACCGCAATTTCGATCACTATTGAGCACAGATTATCAACACAATGTTGCTTGCTTAATTTACAGATCGTTGGGATTCAACGGGCTGTGTCAACCAGATCAACGACTTGAGCATTTATCGACCTTTACTGTAGAAATACGAAAAGTTGCTTTGAATCGAATAAAAAAAAAAAAAAAAGAAGGAAAAAAAACAGATATTTCTATCCACTTGAAAATAAAATTTATTACACAATTAATTCAAGTCAATAATCTCTAATGGAACGATCTGTCCATTTGTTCAATTAACACAAATAAATTGTAAAAGTCAGAAGAGAAAGGAAATGATATGCAATTCAAACATGTTTAAAATTCAAATTAAATATAAAATCTATTTTGCATAAAATAGAAAGAAGGTAAAGTAAAAAAAAAAAAATCAAGGAACAAGAGTAAATAAAGAAAAAAATGAGCTAGAAAAGAAATCTTCTAATGAATTCTTTTTTAATGAATGAAGAAAGAAAAGGAAAGAGTTAAATAAGAAAAAAGGAAAAGAGGTTGAGAAGAAATCTTCTAATGAATAATATATATTGCTTTAATAAATAAATAAATAAATAAATAAATAAATAAATAAAAGAATTCATGAGAGAAAAAGATAAATGATTGAACGTGCTTGGAACGTTTCATGTGAAGAAGCAGGAAGGAACAGGTGTGTACAGTGATGTATTAGAAACGCCTCTAAGAAAAGGGAAAAAAAAGTATGGAGAACGCGGCGATTGCGCTTGACTCGACTGTTAGAAGTCAGGATTCGAATAATTCAAAGAATTCGAAGGATTCGAAGGACTCGAAGGACTCGAACACATCCGATTCGAAACCAGAAAGTTGCCTCGAATCTAAACATTCGAAGGAAATCCTTATTTCCGAGAAGCAACAACGGCAACAGCCTCGAACCGTAACAAGCACGGAGGATCGACAGAAATTGAAGAACAAGGAGTCCAAGGATGAATCAACTATTCTGATGTTCACTTCTTGTGGGCAATTGCTTTTAGGTACGCTTATCTTTTTGAAAATTTTCTGTAATTTTATATTTTTTTATTATTTTTATTATTTTATAAGTAATGTCTTTTCTTTTGTTTTAAATTTTATTTTATTTTTTTTTCTTTCTCTTATTAAAATTCATTTTGTAAAAATTCGTATTAAATTTTTTATTAAGTTTTTTACATTAATATCCATTTTATATTTTTATATGATAGGATTATAGAGTATGAAATAAATAATAGAAAAAGATATAAATTTCTGAAATTATTTAATTATTAAAATTATTTTGGGAAATACATTATTTATTAGTCAATAATTCTTTTTACAAATTTAATATTGAGTAATTTGATTGCATATCAACTATTTTCAGTTTTCATAATTAATAATATTAGATAAAGATACATTTAATGGTTAAAAAACAATTGACATTACTTCACAATAATGACCGCGAAAACCTGTTTCATCGGAATTAATTTAATTAATAACATCATAGATTCACGACAACCTATTAATTAAATATGATATTTGACGGCGATTACTATTTAAATTTATGTTAATATGTATATTATCCTTACAAGTTTATTTGTTATCGTCCTTGATGACGCATTTTCAAAGAGAACATTTCTTGAAATAATTTAATTAATTCCAATAAAACAGAAAATTTACATTTATATTTTGAAAAATCGTAATAATAAAGTACATAATATGTATATAAAATACAATTTTTGTTCATGAGTAATAAATATGTTCTATGTAACAAACAGTAAATATTACAATATTTATATATCTCTTTCATATTTAGAATTTATTATAAAGAATATAGTCCATAGTTTTTTTAAAATGGTCCTTAATTAAGTAGTAACAATTACAAGAAATAATGTTAAGAAAGCAAAAAAATTTGTCTGAAATTATATAGTTCATATAATTCATGAATAAGTAAGATGAATACAGAGTTGTTAGTGTGATTTCTACTTTCGCGTGGTATCTTGATTGTTTTAAAATTCTATAATAAAATATATACGAATTTTCACTGACTGACCACTGAGCAGCAAACATTTCTCCAAACTGCATAGAAATCGGTGTAAAAGTGAAAACATTTCACTTAGAAAGTCATACTTGTGTAACTCTTTCTACAGATTTGCAAACCGTAGAGAATTACCATGCTGTAGTTCATTATTATTCCCTCTTCTCTGATGATACTAAAATGAACACAATTATTATCATATTCATATTCATCCCATGTACATTTTATATTTATATTTTCCTATTATTTATTTTCTATTATTTATATTTTATTTCTACAATTGGTAAGTTCATAACAAAAATCCTTATTCAATTTCAATTGTAAGTTTCACTTACTTCATGATTCTGCTGCAACATAAAAAAAAAAAAGAAAAGAAATTAAAGATTTTCAAATATTTCTTCTCTAAAGAATATTTTTTTATATTAATTCTTCAATTTATAATTGAAATATACTTTAATAACTATTATCTTAAAAATTTTACTACGTTATAAAAAAAATTTAATATTATAGGTGTAGTACTTGTAGTATTTGGTATCCTGGTACTGGTCCATGGCGCTGCATTAGGAGGTTCCGGTGCAGGATTATGGGCTGGTGCGGGTGCTCTTGCCGCAGGAGCATTTGGTGTCGTAGCAACACTTGCAACGTCAACAAGCAAAACGAATTCCAGCTTTTCCACGGCTCACCTTGCAGCGAGCCTCATTGCCCTTGCCCTTTCAAATATGGCTGCAATCACGGCCTTGACTGCTATTGTCAGGGACTCCCAGAGAACACCGGAAGTGACCTTGCTCACTGTTCCGGTACGTATTGTCTGTACTTTCACTAGTTATTCTTTTTTTCTATGCATTTCTTTTTTCTTCTGAACATTGCTGTATAATTGTAACATTGTACGTATCTACAAAGAGAGATTTAAAAAATTAATCTATAAATTAATTAAATTTTAAAAAATTAAGATTTAATTTAAGAAATTAACAGAATCATCATCATTCTTTTTCTTGTTTCAGAGATTTTTTAAAGCTGATAAATAATCATAATGAAATTATTATAACAATTATATTTTCAATTTTATTACTTTTCATGATCTCTTATGTAAATTATTTCATCCTTATATCATAAATGATAACAAAAATTTACACTTCTCGGATTGCATTAGCAATCGATGAAAATATATATTATAACGTGAAGGTATCAATTACGATCAATCATTAGCGATATAATTCAATACCCGGAGAAATTTTATTGGCGCGTGCTTATATCAGCTGAAGCTACTAAGAAGCTAACGGTGACTTCATCAGGAAATTATTACTGTCATTGGGTATTTATTGTATAGGAAATATGTATAAGAAATAGAGTCTATGGGGATTATCAAAAATTTTTCATATAAATAAACTGGTATGATCTTTGAATTAGTAGTATTTAAATTAGCAACCAAATTTTATTTGAAATATTATTTTATTTATTTTCATTTATTATTTTTATTTCTAAAATAATTAAAAAATAAGTTTATTTTATTTCAAGATCATATATAATATATAATTTTAATATATAATATATAATTTTTTATTTTGGTTTATTATAGTTATTATAGTTTATTTTAATTCGTATTATTATGAACTATTACTTACTTAAAACTCAATTAATAAGCGGTATTGGTGGCCCAAATTCGTTCTTGATCATTTTCTCGTTCACCGATCAGATCGACGGGTTTTGGCGTCTCAGACCAACCAGAACAGGGCCGTTGAAACCGTTTGACCGTCAGAGAAAGTTTCCAATGCCAAGGCTAAAATGCGGTCAGGGCATCGTGAAATTTCACAAATTGCCTCCTGCCTCTGAATCTTGAACGCTGTGGAACGCACCTCTTCCGGTCAATGATCTATTACAAAATATTTTACTATGCAGTAAACTGAATTAAGAAATATTTCATGAATGTCGAAGAAAATAATAATGGATTAAAATAGTTGTAATATTTCAATCATTTTTTAATCAGAAAGAATTTTATTTCGCCAAATTTTCTAAAATAAAAACAAAAAGAAGTTTTCAAGAAAAATATATTAAATTATTTAAGCAATAATTTAAGCAAAAAAAAGTAATATTAATATATAAAATATAAAAATAAAAAGTTAAATATCCTATAATATGAAGTTACACAAGTAAAAGTAACGATGTTACTTTTCTTAGGTCATAGTAAATAGACTTTGACGGATACTTCGACTTGAAACTTCGTCCAACTGTTTGGTAGGAGAAAGTCTTCTGAAGTAGATACCTTGTATCTATATTTATACGATTTTTAAAATAGTACTATTTTGAAGTATGAATACCATTCCTTAGCAACAATATATATATTATTTAATTATTTTTTATTTATTTTATTTATTCTTTACCTCAATATCAATATATATTTTTTCTATCAAAATTTTTATGAAAATCATCAAATGTCATTCATAAAAATAAATTTATATATAGTCTTACTATTTATAATATACTTGGTAGTTGAAATATGAGTAGATTAAAGAACAATAGGAGATGAAAATAATAACACAAAAGAATATCAAATGTTAGAAACTACAACTACTAAATATTTCCATATTATTATTCAAATATTAGCATTATTTAAATTATATATTTCAATCTTTAATTGAGATTATTATATTTCTTATAAGTATTCAATAATACTTGGAAATTCATAATAAAACTTTCTAAATAAATAAGTAATGTATTATTTCCTATCTTTATTTTATTTCCGGAAAAAGTGAAATTATACTTTCTCACCGAAAACTCTTTATATAATAATATATAATTACAAATTAAACATTTCTTCATTACAAAACATTAATTGTATAATTAATATCTACAATATATGTATATGTATATAATATGTATATATGTGTATATATATGTATATATATATATATATCATATGTTATAATATGTATAATATGTACATTAATTGGAATTAAAACTTTTATTGTCGTAGTAAATTTCAAATTATCAAATTTTTTAGCATTAAAAATATTTAAAGTACAAAAAATTAAGTTTCTCTATTACAAAATAAATTAAAAAGAAAATAAAATAACCTCAACTGTTAAAGAATGAAGATGGAGACGCAGCAGAAATAGAGGGTACCTGGGCAGGTATATTGGCTAGCATTGGATTATTGATAGCTAGCGTGGCCGAATTATTAGTTTCTGGTTACATTTGCTTAACTTTAACCCCTAAACTATGCGGGTGTCTTCGAGCAAACAATGTCGACGAAATTGCAAGCGACGGTCGACTGAAGACTCGCAACATGGTCCACCAGTGGGTCACAGCACAGAACCATGTACCGAAGAATCAACCGATTTACGTAGTACAGCCGATGTTACCGATACATCCGATAATCCAGGTGAGGCCTGATCTTATCTCACAAATCTTCGTTCTTCGTTCTTGACTACTACGGCTCGACGAACTGGAAGGGATAGGTCAGTGACACATGAGCTAGAAAGTTTAGACGACGAACGTTGAGAGAAACTCGTCGAGCCTTAGCTTCAGGCAATCTTTGTGCCTACATTTCGGTGATGCACGAGCTCGTTGCAGGTATTTCTGTGTCAGGAGGATAAAGCCAACCAACTTCTTCTCTTATAGCTTTTCGGATTCCTCTTTGAGCGAAAGATGCTTGAGGCATAGTACATGTTTGCGGTCAGAATGCCTGAGAAATTCTTGTAGTGGATGGTTGTGATTGGTTTCTGCAAGGAATGCATGGTATGTTTGTTTTTTGGCTGTTGAATTTTGTTTTTTGAGAAGATATGTGTTTGTTTGATAATTGAATAGAAAAGGCTGTTTAATTATGAAAATTATTAGTAGAAAATGATTTAAAATAAATCATGAAAATAATGAATATATTTCATGTTATTTTGATTATTAGAATAGTTAAGTTATAGATAGTTAATTAAAGAGAAATTGATATCTAAGAGATTTAAAATAGATACAGTGTTTTATATTATTTTGATTGCTAGATTTTATTTAATGATGTATGAATGTTATTTTATTCAATAATTAAGTAGATCAATTAATTAATTAAAGAAAAATTGATTTCTGATAGGATGAATTGAGAATTTAGAATGGATTGAATGAATATATTTTATGGCTGTTTTCTTAAATTTTATTTAATAAATATAAATGTTCTGATTAATATTTAAATAGTTCAAATAAAAAGATATTAATATATCTAAAATAAAATATTAGTAATCAATAACTTTGATGAATAAAAAAATCTTAGACAAAAAGTTAAAAAAATAAAATAATAATAGTAACAATAATAACCATAATTTTGTTTTGTTATAGTCACCATATGCAATCTCTGGGGCACCTGCAAAATTTCCTGGAGGATTTGTGCCTACCGGACCTTTGCCAATAGCTAGTCCAGCTTATGGTGCCGTTCCTATGTTACCGCATATGCCATACGCTGCTCGTGCTCCGTCACAAATTGTATGTTCTTACTATAATACTATTTTTTATCATTCTCAATCCATCTTTCAAATAATCATTATTATATCATTATTATACCATTATTATATATATAATAATCAATATTCTAATTATTTCGTAATAAAATTTATATATATGTATATTATAAATAAGAAAAAATGATAATGCAAAGTTTTTACAATTGTTAAAAGATTCGATCAAAACAAAAACGCCACATGACTGAAGATACTATGGAAAGAAAGAGGCAAACTGAAAGAAAATCGGAATCCCCGAAAAGAATGTCTTCTATAGGAGAAGATCAAGTAGATCTAGCTCAAACATATACAGGATTGGATAAAAAAATCTCAGAAGAGTTTATTTCAATTGCCATGGATCCAGAAAGGAAATCTAAAGCCTCCAGTAGTCATGGCAGTGAAATTGGTACCGCGAAAACCTCTTAAAAATGTGATGTTTTCAAATTATTTCGTATTATTTTTATAATCAGTGCAAAAAAAATCTTTATACATTTACGCACGTAAATGTATATAATTTACCATTAAAAAAAAATTTTATATCATTTGAATATATATATGAAACAATTTAAGCATTTCATTCGAGGCTTTATTTCTACTTAATTTCGTTGTATCAATTTACATCATTACTAGTATTCACAATATGCATTGCAATTTTAATTGCTATTGTAGATATTAATTATTCACTTTCATAACTGGAATTGTAATAAAATTCTTGAAATAAAAAATAGATATATATGCTGTATTTTTAATTGTATAAAAATGATTATATTTAATGAGATTTTAAAAATTAATAAATTTATTTATTTCTTATACTATTTTATATCAATTGTTATTCATATTGTTGTACAATATTCATTAAAAAATAATATGTATTTTAAGCGAAAAAAAATTCAGCTTTGAAAAAATAATATAACTGAGTATTTGTTATATAATAATTCCAAAGGTTTTAAATTATAATATTTTAAAATATTATATATAAAAATATAAATTTTTAATACATAAGAATTTTTAAAAGCATCATTGGAAAATAAACATAAGAATTATTAATATTTTGTATTTTATCTAATAATTAAAAAACTAATTTTTAAAGTTTTATATTGCCAAAGTTGTTTACTTATTTTTTTAATATATACTTATATGATTACAATAGATTTTTAAGAACATTTTACAAGTTTTGCTAGATTTGTAAAATATACAAAAAAGTGTTTTTTTTATTTTTTCTTAAATTATTGAAGTTTTTTGCAAGAAATAACACATTTTATTTTATTAATAAATACATATATTATAATTTTTTGCAATCTAGTAAATAATATAAATTAATTGAAAATACATATATAAATTAAAACAATCTATACAAATATTGAAATTAGTTTTTAAAAAATATTTTATTATATTTAAAAAAAATAAAAGAATTTAAAATAATTATATAAAAATATCTTAAACCAATTTCAATATGGAATTTCAAAGAGTTAAAATAAAATAGATTGAAATATTTATAATAGTTTTTGGAATAAAATTCTATTATATTAATAACAAACTTTTAGATACCTGATATTAAAATAGCTATTTAATATATAGATATATTGTTAACTATCTAAAAATGTAACAGAATTTTAATACATAAAGTCATTTGAGTCATTTGTAATTATTGTCTTTTTTTATAATTTAGTTTATGAAATGTTATAAGTGATGCTGATTTATTATCGCCACTTTATTGTACAATTATATGTTAATATTCGAAGTTAATTCAATGCGAATTTTATCGTGTATATATAATGTATATCATGTACTGTTATAAAAAAATAAATTTAAAAAATAAAACACATTATCGAGTATAATTATTATTTCCAAATAGTGAAACAAAAAATACAATATATTCTTTTTTAAATACTTGTTCAGTATTTTTTTAATATTCTAAATATTTTAAATAGTATTACAATTTAATTTACTACAAGTTACTTAAGATTACTCGTAATCACATATAGCATATATTGCGCGTCTTTCAAAAAAGATATATAACTAGCATATATCTTGTATACGAAATATAAAAATATCTCTATTTTTTTAATAAGAGTAAGTTTTCTTTATTATTATTATTATTATTATTCATTCCGTTTTCATTATTATTTCTATAACAAAATATATAAAAATAGATGTGCATCACAATCATTGGAATACTTAATATATGAACGAGATTAAAGCAATATAAAATATTAAATTCTTTAAATGAACATTATAAACATTAAAAAAGATTATCAGCATTCTTTATGCATTATATGGATAATTTTTCGAATGTAATTTTTATTTTTTATTAAGTAATAAATCATAATTTATTTAAATAAAAATTGTAAATTATGTTTAATAAAAAACTGTAAATTATTATATATCGTTATTAATATTAAGAATTTATATCAAAGTTACCATTTTTATTACTTTTATCGATATTCATTTTAAAAGTAATTTTGATAAATATATGGATAAATATTTTGAACTTTCTGAAATGTAAATTGAGAGTGTAAATATTTTTATAAAAATGCCACGGCATATACAATCTTAAGTACTTAATACCTAATATTGAATATCTATTTATTATCTTCTATTTTGCTTAAATAAAATTCCCATGTATCAAATTCAATTTTTTTTGCATTTATCTATATACAAGCTCTTGTATTATGTAGCATTTTAGTAAGTAAATCAATATTTTATCACAAAGATAGATAATTAAAAATAATACTTAATATTAAAAATATTACAATCTAGTAAGTATTAAATAAAATTAATTCAAGTATAATTGCTTTATAAGTTGTGCAGTATATATTTTCTGCTGATTATTAATTCACATATTTTATATTTGAAAATAATTATGGATATCATCATATCATATCAAATATCAAATAATGAGCGATTTTTATTAACTTAAAATTATAATACTAATTTGTAAATTACTTGTTGCATCAACATGATCATGTACATATTGAAGCGACAACCCTGTTTCTACATATAATTCACTACTATGTACAACTATAAATTTCTATCATACACTTTATACATTTTCTAAATAAGTATAGAACTTTATTATTTATTAATCAAAATTGAAGATTACATAATATATACATTATTATATATTATATATATTACTAATAAAATAATTTGCCTTTTTTGAATATATTAATTGAATATTTTTATTAATCTTCATTTTTTAAATCAATTTATTAGCAATAAGTTATATAGTAAATGCCAAAATAGTTTTACGGAAGATATATGTAATATGTCATCATAATATTAAATTATTAAATTTGCTAATATAAAGAATAAAGAAATATTTTAAACATATTATATATAAGGCACTTGTTCAGTTTAGCCTTACGATCTTCAATTTTGATAAATAAAAGAATATTAATATCTTTCATAAAGTTTGACTTGCATTTGTTCTAACTAAATTCTTATAAAAACTGCAACAAATTTAGAACAATATTTTTTTAAACTTTCAATGGATAAAAAAATTGAATTAATTTCAACTAGCATTTGATATATCTATATCAATCGTTTCTTCTTTGAGTAATGTTCGTTTATCTTCTTTGGTATTAGCTTGTCTTTTACCACCAACTTTGCGTTTACCTCTATTAAGTACACCATTTTCTTCATCCATCATGCGCAAAATTTGTGTCTGATCAGAACTTTCTATCGGTGCTATCGATATATCACGAACAGCACGAAATTTACCACAATTATTTAAATGTTCGTTTTCCAATCGAAAAAAATTCCAAACGAAGCGTCTTAAAATAAAAATATATTTTTATAAACTAATTGATAATATAAATATTTAATAAAAATTAATTACATAATAAAATAATTAAATATTTATTAACTGACAAAATATAGCTAAAATCTTACCTAAAAACTTCTAAAGGTGCTACTATAGATGTCATTAAATCACTGGATACATATTCACATTCAATGAGAACAAAACTCGCAATCCATGCAAATCTCAATATAAAATCTTCGATTATAGCAAAATAATAGAATCCCTAGAGAAAAAAATATTATATGCAATAAATGTTTCAATAATGAAGAAAAATTAAACAATAATTTTATTTACATACAGCTGCTGAATATACAACTTCTTCGCGTAAAAATTTATTTTCACCAGCATTGCTGTCTAACAAACCCCAATCCATTTTCAAATCCCAAGTTACTGAATAAATTGAATTGACAATGCAACTAATAATCCAAAGCCATAACCATGGATTTTCCCAACGAGTTTGATATTCCACTAAAATTATTATTTTTTTATCTTTTTGTTAAAATATTTTTTATATTTTATTAAAATATAATTAATAATATAAAAAAATCGTCCTTACCAGCACGATAAGCACACATAGTATTACATATTACAACAAGGAATGTAGTTGAATATTTGCCAGCATTAGCTAAATGTGGAAATGCTTCTTTTGAATCCCGATATCGTCGAATACATTGTGCAAAACGAAACCATGCAGGTAGACAATTAACAATAGGTCTAACAATTAAGGATCCAGACATACATTGCGTGGAATCTCCTGCCTCTAACCAATTTCCATTGGTAATATAAAAACATGTTAAAAAATGGAAATCTAATAAGGCTGTGGCCATACTGTTTAATTGATCTGCCAACCAAAAATCAGCGAAATTTACATATGCGAATGGCGATATTAAAACTCTTCCCTAAAAATAAAAATAAAATAAAATTTGAATTGAATTATTAATTGTAATTTTTTATACTACATGTTATATTAATATAACTTACGATTATTTTTAATAGCCAAAATCGTGCTTCATGGCGGAACATTTTTAACGGATTTAATAAAAATGCTAACATGATACAAACTAAAACTAACGGATTTACGTATGGTGGAATGCTTAAGCTAGCACTGTACAAAAAGCTTAATAAACTAAGAGTCCATATAACTCCAAGAACTGCAGCTAATTCCATAAGATGTTGTTCAGATAAATGATTTCGCGGATCCAATTCAAATATCAATACATGGTTCACACCAGACGATCGCCATCCATAAACATTTACACCAATAAGAAATAAAAATTGTATAATAAGTAGAGGTCCACGATATAATCTAAATGCAATTTTTAAGTTTTCTCCGCCATCGTGAAATATGGCTAAAAATAAAATAAAGAAAATAAATATAATTATAATTAATTATTTATATAATTTAATTTATATAATTTACATAATTATTTATATAATTAATTTGTATAATTTTTATTATTACCTGAAAGTACAACTGTTACAAATAGGACAATGAAACTACCAGAGAATAATCCAACTTTAAAAGTGGTCCATGGACTTTGATGTTCTCCTAAAGGTGGAACGCGTAAACGTTTCATAGCACGTTGTCTATCTCCACCTTCTAAGTCATTTGTTACTGTAGTTTCTGTATCTTGTATAAGTTTGTCTATATCTTTTGATGTATAGAAATGTGAAGTTTCTACACATTCGACCCTCCATTTTGATCCACTATCTACAGACAATAACTGAAAATAGAAATAAAAACAATATTACATCTTGTAAATGTAAAAAACATAAGTTGCTACAATGTATGAGGTGTGCTGAGTTTTTACTTGTGTTTAATAGGATAAGGGACTTTAAAATAAGTATTAGTTCTTTCCATATTTTTTCATTATTGTTTAAATGAACCTGTAAACCTAGAGAAATACAAAAAAAATTAAGTATGAATTAATGCAATGATAACTAACAAAATCTCTCTTCTGATATACCTTGTCATGTTTTTTAAGAATTTTTCGAAAACCAGTGTAATTAAGATTTTGATAATTTTGAAGAAGTATAAGAGATAAGTAAAATTCTGAGAATGCAAGTTTCAATTCCCTCAACTTTCTTGTTGGTAAATGAGGTTTAGCAATCATTTTCCCCTTATTTTTTCCTCCACCTTGCTGTAATTCTAGTGCTGTTTTCAATTCATTTTGAAGAGCTGCATATTTACGTGTAGCTTCTGCTAACTTTTCTATACATATAAAATATATAAAAATATATATATAAAAAATAAATATTAAATATAGAATATTTTGTTGTTAATAAATATAATTAACAAGCTTTCATTAATTTGATTTAATTCATATATATTTAATTTTAACAAAACTCTCTTACCAGAATAAAATGTATTGATTTTCTTTAATTCACGATCACAAAATGTAAAAAACACTTCATCAAAAGAAGCAAAATGTCGAGATATAACTTCTGGTTCAACACTTTCAGCTGATGGTGCTTCTTCTACTGCAGTATAGAGCATAGCTTTCATTTCCTATTGATTCAAAAAGGATTATCAATCATATTAATTAATAGTTTTAGTAAGATTATATTTCTATTAGATTATATTTTTATTTCTATAATAATATATAAACTTGTAATAAAATATTGATATCTTAATTTTTCATATTAATTTATTTTACCTCATAACTAATATATTGTTTACGCCATTCAGGTGTAATATGAGCAGATAGATGTTCTGCGAACTTCATCTTATTTCAATTAATGTAATAATCTGTAATAAATTCACTTAAATTATTTAATATATAATATCAAAAAATTATATAACATGATTAAATATATAAATGAAATATATATAAAATAATAAAATAAATGTACACAAAAAATATCTATGTATTAATTAAAAAAATTTTTTTAAATTTATAAATTTCAAAATTTTTATATAAAAAAACATAAATTTCATGTATAAATTTATAAAGAATATGAATATCAAAGAAATAAGATAATAAAATAAACAGAAATGTAATTACAGTGAAAAAAAATATAATAAATTAAATGTTTGATTTCTTTACTTACCTTCAATGAATTAAACAACAAAAGAGGTTATACGCAATACATATAATGTTTCTAAAATCTTTGTCGGCACTAAGTCAATATTTTTTCAATTCGTTTACTTCACGATAAATTATTATTACTTGAAGATAAACGTATTTATCTTTATTCTTTACTTGTCAAATTTTACATCGACCGCAATATCATTATTTCTTCGTAAATATAAAGTATATTCTGTAAGTACAATAAATAATTCTTTTATTAGTCAATTATATTTTTCGCAAAGATATTTATTTATTTCTTAATAATAGTAATTCTTAATAAAGATTCGATAGAAAAATTTTGCAATTAAGTAACTTTAATCTGCACATTGTACTAACTTATTTGAGATAGATAAAAATATTACATATGTAAGTAATATGTATATAAGCGATAATCTTGTTACATATAATTTTTTATGTTTTTTACCTACAAGATTCAATTCTAATTTTAAATTCTGTTGTTATATATCACATTTTATTGATTTTATTATGATTTTATTAAGAACAATAATTTTATATATTTATATATATATGAATATAAAAAAAATATATTTACATATTTTTGTTTTTTTGTTTTTGTATGAAAACAATTCTAAATTATAACATTTTTAAAAAATCAAATAAATTATTTAAAAAATATAGTTATAAAACATTGTCAGATAGCATAAAAAGCATTTATTTTTATTTTGTCAACATTCAATAATGATTTCTTATTAATATTATTTCTAATATTTTTTTAATTAATATGCAATAATAAATAATTCAATTTTTTAAAATATTTAAAAACATTTTAAGATTATTTTATTGAACTTTTTTCTATTTCATACAAAATATATATATATAAATCACATGATTAATTTAAAACATTGTAAACTATATTTAATATTCAATAAAATAATTAATGTTGAAATAATAAAAAATTAGTTTAAAATTATATATAAAAAATTGTAATACTTGAATATAATAAATATGAAAAAATTTGTGTTCCAATTCAAATAATAATTTTATTTTTTTATGTTTATTTTTTTATATAAAGAAATAATATTATCTGAAATTTTAATTTTTTTTCTATGAATTTTTTATAAAAATATGGATTATGTTTATAAAAAAAAGTATCTTTTATCTATAATCTATAATAAAATATAATTTATACCACGTCAAAAATTATTTTAGAGATGACATTATAAAATATAAAAGGAACATTCAATGTGAATCAAATTATTTATTTATTTACAAAATAATAAATTAGAACATCGACGAAAAAATATATTTTTACTTAGATAGATGAAACATGCCAATAGACAAAAAAGCAAATAGTGGAAAAAGAACAGAGATAGGATAAAAATATTGAAATCAATGCTATCAGAATGTAACAAATGAAACACGCAAACAAAGAATAGAAAATAATAGAAAAAGACAGAGATAAAGTCAGAATTAACAATTAATACCATCTTTTAAATATCAAAGATATTTCTTCGAAAGCAAAATAAGATAAAGTAAGAATTGAGAATCAGTGTCATCTTTTAAATACTTCTGAAAGATATCTTTAGAAGATGTTTCAATAGATTGCGCTGATCTTTAATTCTTATCTTATATTTATTCTTTTCTCGCTATTTTCTGTCCTCTCTTTTTGTGTTTCATTTGCGACATTCTAGAAGATGACACTGTTGATTTCAATATTTGTACTCTATTTCTCTCCTTCTTTTATTATTTACTCTTCTTGTTTATGTACGTTTCATCTAACGACAATAAAAATATTATTTTTTTAATATATAAGATAATAGTTTTCACTATTTTTGACTCAATTAAAACATAAAGTCAATAAAATAATATTTACAATTATTTTTTTACATGATATAAATAACAAAATCTAATTTTTATTTTTTCAGAATTTAGCATATAATTAATCCAGATTTGATATAGTATGTATCAGTTTCTATATCTATTGTTCTTTATTAGCTTAATAAATAATAGTATATCATGGCAAATATTTATGAGAGGTCGAAGTAAACATGGTAATCTAGGTGCTCCAATTTTATCTGAAAATTATAAACTTCCAAATGAGCAATGGTTTACACAATTTTTAGATCACTTTGATCCAACTGAAGCACGTGTTTGGCAACAGGTAATATAAAAATATATATATATTCATATTCAAAATTCTTGAATTTGTAATTCAAATAAATTATATATACTTTATTTTATATTTATATTTAAAATTTTTTAATTATTTTTTTAGAGATATTTTATAAATGGAGAATACTACAAAAAAGGAGGACCTGTATTTTTAATGATAAGTGGTGAAGGTACAGCAACTGCTAAATGGATGGTAAAAGGCCAATGGATTGAATATGCTAAGCAATTTGGAGCATTATGTTTTCAAGTAGAACATCGTTTTTATGGAAAAAGTCATCCTACTTCGTATGTAATATTACAATTTACAATTTAGAATTACACACATTTTAAATTATAATACAATATTTTTGTTATTTACAGAGATCTTAGTGTGAAAAATTTAAAATATCTTTCCTCACAACAAGCACTTGCAGATTTAGCTTACTTTATAGAAATTATGAATATTGATTATAAATTACCAAATGATACTAAGTGGATTGCATTTGGAGGGTCATATGCTGGGTCATTAGCTGCATGGTTGCGTTCTAAATATCCTCATTTATTATATGGGGCTGTTTCTGCAAGTGGCCCTTTATTAGCAGAAATTGATTTTCAGGGTAAGCATACAAAATATTTATTATGAAACGTATTTTATATTAATTATTATATTTTATAGAATATTATGTTGTTGTTGAAAATGCTCTCAAACAATATTCTGAAACATGTGTGAATACAATAATAGAAGCAAATAAACAATTTCACATAATGTTACGTCATCCGATCGGTCAACAAGGAATAGCTAAAAAATTTGTGTAAATAGAAATCGAATTTCTTATTTATTAATATAAATATATATATTATTATATATTATATATATATATTATATATATATATTATTATAATATATATATTATTATTGAAAAATTGTTTTTATTTGCAGTTTATGTGATCCTATTGATTCTGGACACACTAAACGTAGTGATATTTCTAATTTGTACGAAACAATAGCGAGTAATTTCGCCGGTATTGTACAATATAATAAAGATAATCGTAATAATTCCGCAATGGCTAATTTGACTATCGAAAGCGCTTGTGATATTTTAACGAATGATAGTTTGGGTATTGCCATAGATAGACTTGCAATTTTAAGCACTAAAATATTGAATGCATCAAAAGAGAAATGTTTGGATTATATGTACAGTAAAATGATTCATAAACTTCGAAATGTAACTTGGGCTAATGAAGAAGCAGAAGGAGGTAATGCAATATTTATATTAATGCAATAAAATTTTTTTAAAAGTATTACTGGTGATTTTATGTTTTTAGTTATTATATTTTAACGTATACTTTTTAGGACGACAATGGATGTATCAAACGTGTACAGAATTTGGATTCTTTCAAACTTCTACAGCACGTCCAAAGTTATTTAGTGAAACATTCCCAATAGATTTCTTTGTGCAACAATGTATTGATGTGTTTGGCCCAAGGTTTGAAAGATAAATACATTTTTAATTATCATTAGCTATATAGAATTATATATAACATTTTTATACTTCCATAGATACAATATTCATTTGCTGAACTCGGCAATAAATAGAACAAATATTTTATATGGAGCATTAAATTTAAAAGTTACAAATGTAGTATTTGTACATGGATCAATTGATCCTTGGCATGTTTTGGGACTTACGAAATCATCGAATCCACAAATGCCTGTTATTTATATCGATGGTGCATAAACATTAATTCGTATTTTTTATTTTCTAATTTCTATTTAACATTGAAAATTAATTAAAGCTTATGATTTACAGGTACTGCTCACTGTGCCAATATGTATCCATCTTCTAAAGATGATCCACCTCAATTAAAAACTGCCAGAGTAAAAATCGGAAATCTCATCAGTCAATGGTTGCGTAATTAAATGTGATATATTTTTTTGTTTTGTGTGATACATATATTTAATAATAATTAGATTTTCTATTATTATTTTTTTTAATAAAACAGTAATTAGAAGAATTAAGTTTATTTAAGTAACTTTTTAAACAATTTGAATTGTTCTTTATAAACTTCTGTAAAGCAATCATGCTACATAAATATTTTTAATTCAAATAAATGGTGCATTTATTAAAACTAAAAGTAATTATTTACGTATATAACAAGTTATTCATGATATAATGTTTACTATTTTGTATATTCTTTATATTAAACCACAAGAATGTATGTATAGTTACAATTAAACAAATTTGCCCATAATGGCACTATTACAATTTCTTGTGATTATTGGTATATTAAATAAATACATATACAACTTATTATGAATATATCTTATATCAGTCAACAAATAAATACATACTATTTATTAATTATGTATGTTTTATTCTAGACGAATATGGGAAAAACTTGTTAAAATAATACTAAATATAAATAATTAATTAAAATATATATAGAACAGATTTTACATAAGTTTTACACGTAATTTGTCTTAGAACGAGCTATATCTAAATAAATTTTGATTCTGAAATGGATAACGTCGGCCTTCCCTTAACGATATCATTTTTAAATATCGGTTTATTATGAGAAATTTATTTAATCTTTTTAAGGCGAGGCCAAAGTATCCATAACAGATATTGATCTTATCGAGTATGATTTTTGTAAATTAATACCATTCTTAATATTGTAATTAAACATTCATACAATAATTTATATTAAAATTCGTTTAATCGGTAATTTTATATATATATATATATAATATATATATATTATTCTCATTTTTTTGGCATATCCTTTGATCAACTTGTGATCCTTCTATATTCACAACTTGCATCATTAACTTACGCTACTATAATATACGATATTTACATTACGTAACAAAATATTTGTAAATGATTTACTGTATAATAGAACGATAAACATTTTTATCTATGAATCACGTTTTAAAATTCTCCTACACAACGTCTGACTCACCACGTTCCTTTAAATTTTATTTAGAGTTACAAATTGTTTCATAA